CAGGGGGCCCCTGCCAGCGACAACGAACTCTGTGCTTTCATCTGAGACGAGGGACTTGCAGCCGGTGAAGAGGGACATGGGAGCAGAAACCCTAAACCCTGAACCCTAAACCCTAGTTTGGCGGTTTGGAGAAGGGCGGCGGTCCCACGAGAAGGAGCCCCGCGAGGGCCGACAGAGGCAGAAACTCAGCAGCGTTGAGCTGCAGGGGCCTCTGTCTAGGGTTTAGGGTTTAGGGTTTAGGGTTTGGGGCCCAGGGTTCAGGGTTTGGGAAGTTCGGGATGAGTCTCAGGCCGCCTGCAAGCGGGTCGCGTTCGGCTCTGCGGAGGCCTTCTTTTGTTGAAATTAATTGCTTAACATTAAATAATGAATAAAATCAATTAAATAAAACTTTAAAAATCAAAAATAAGATTAATTTGGCGCCTCCAGAGGCGGCGGCCGCCACCGCGGACGACTGCGACGAAGGCAGCAGTTGAGGTGTATGTACACCTCAGCAGTCAAAACGGCGCAAAGCTGAAATTAACTCGCTTTTCTTCTGCCACATTTAAATTAAATTTATTTTTAATTTTATTTCTTCAATTTTCGCCGCTTTTGGCTTTCCGAGACGAAGAGAATGAGCCGGCAGCAGCAAATCTGCGAGCTGTCTGTACACCTGAGCAGCCCGGCCACAACAGCAGCTTCTACAAAATGAATTGGCATTTCTTTTAATTCTTAATTTGTTTTAAAAATACTATTAAGGCAACGGCAGCAGCGAAAGGAATAAGAGCCGTCGGCCGCCGCGCCGAAACCCCAGCCAAACCCTAAACCCTAAACCCTCAACCGACACAACTGGCTAGCTTTCTGAAGCTCTGACCCTAAACCCTAGCAGCAAAGGCAGCAAACTGCTGCAGCCGCAGCAAGAGTCCTAAGGAAACAGGGAGATAACGCAAACCCTCAGCCGCCGCAGCATCAGTGTTTAGGGTTTAGGGTTTACGCGTAAAGCAGAGGGCTGTTTGCTGCAGTGAAGCAGCAAATGCCTCTCGGCGTTTGCTGCTGCTGGCAGGAAGAAAACTAATGGCTGCGAGCGTTGCAGCGGCAAGCAGCCACAAGTCAGCCGTTGCTGCTGCTGCTGCTGCTGCAGCTGCAGCAGCTGCTGCAGCAGCTGCTGCTGCTGCTGCAGTTGCTGCTGCCGCTGCGGAGCTAGCGTGGGGCGGCTTCTGCTGCCGCAGCACATGGCGGTGGAAGCAGCTAGAGGGAGATACTTGCGGGCCTGCTGCAGAGGAAGCCAAGGGAGCAGCAGCAGCTTGAGGCAGAGCTCATTAGCTGCTGCTGCTTCTGCTGCTGCTGCTGCTGTCAAGCTGCGCTCAAATTTCAGCCGCCGCCGGATGGCTTAAGCAGAATCGGACGTAACAGCAAAACTACTCTGCCAGCTAGCCAGCTAGCTAGCTGGCTAGCTAGCTAGCCAGCTATCCAGCTAGCTAATCAGCTAGCCAGCTAGCTTATCAGCCAACCAGCCAGTTAGCTAACAAGCCAGTCAGCTAGCCTGTCAGCTAGCCAGCTAGCTAGCCAACTAGCTAGCCAATTGGCTAGCCAGCTAGCTAGCCAGCTAGCTAGCTAGCTAAAATGATTTATGGAGGCGTACGGAGGTGCAGGAGTCCCAGTGTTCGAGTCAACCACACTCCGCTGCAACTGCTGCCGCTGTTGCCGCTGCTGCTGCTGCTGCTGCTGTTGCTGCTGCCGTTGCTGCTGCTGTTGTTGCCCCAGCTGGCTTCGGGCCAAGCAACTCAAAGAGTTAAGAAGATGATAAAAGGAATTAAAATAAATCAAAAGAATTAAAATAAATTAAAACAAAATAAATCAAAATAAATTAAAACAAACATAAACAAAATTTAAAATTAATTAAAATCAATTAACTAGAAGAGATTAAAAGGACCCGAATGAGAATAAAAGGACTTGAAGAGATTTAAAGAAAGACTTCATTGTCTGGATGCAGCGAGAAGAGCTGCTGCTGCTGTTGCTGTCTGTGCTGCTGCTGCTGCTGCTGCTGCTTACGCTGCTGCTTGTGCTGCTGTTGCTGAAGACATCAGCATGCAACAGCGACAGTTTTGCTGCAGCGGCAACCTCTGCTACTGCAGCACTACCCCAGCCCCAGGGTTTGGACAAGGGCAATTTGCTGCTGCTGCTGCTGCTGCTGCTGCTGCTGTTACTGCTGCAGCAGCAGGCGAAATGTTCGTAGGCAAAAGCAAAGACGCCCAGCTTGCTAACTTCTGCCGCGGTACACTCCCAGTTGCTGCAGGAAAGCAGCGGCTGCAGCAGCAGCAGCAGCCGATGTGCTGCTGCAGCAAATCACAATGCCTGCTGCGGGCTGCAAAGGCTCTGCTGCAGCGCTGCTGCCGTCTCTAAATTCGTTTAGCTAAATAGAGCTCTGAAAAGAGTCCACTGCTGCTGCTGCTACGGCTACTGCTGCTGCTGCTGCTGCTGCTGCAGTGCCGTGCCGGCAGTCCGCATTAGCAGCAACAGCAGCAGCTACTGCTGCTGCAGCAGCACGCCTAGGGGAGGCGCAGCAGGATAAGTTCGTTCAAAAGTGACAAAAAAGAAAAAGAAAATTAAAAGAAGCCGACAGGGGGCCCTTCACATTCCCCGCAGACAGTACTGCTGCTGCTGCTGCTGCTGCTGCAGCTGCTTCTGCTGCGCGATTACTGCTGCTGCTGCGCTGGCGCTGCAGTGACGCTGCTGCTGGTTGCCCTGCACCGCAGGCGCAGCAGCAGCAGAGGCGCAGCAGCAAAACGGGCGCCGCGTCCGCTGCAGCAAAACAGCAGCAGCAGCAGCAGCAGCAGCACGACAGGAGCAGCAGCAGCAGCAAGACAGGAGCAGCAGGCGCAGGTTCACTCCCTGAGTCTGAGGAGCTTGTTGCTGTTGCCCTCGCACTGGCAGCAGCGGAGGCCGCAGCCAGTGCACCTTTTGCTGCTGCTGAGGACTTTTGCTGCTGCGTCGGGCTCCTCAGCAGCAGCAACAATTGGGCGTGGGGCCGTTTTTGCATAAGCTCTGGAAATAAAAGTGGAAGTCCAGGTGAGTTTGCTGCTGCTGTCGACTCCCTTGAGGAACGTGTCTTGGTCGGTGGCGCCGGGGACCTGCTGCTGCTGCTGCTGCTGCTGCTGCTGCTGCTGCTGCGGGGTGGGCACGAGGCGCAGCTGCTGCAGCAGCTGCAGGCTGCGGCTGCTGGCAGCACCTGGCTGCCCCCCGCTGCCCAGCTTGCTGGGGACTGGAGGAAGTTTTGTCTTTTGAGTTTCTTCAAATTGTTTTTCTTTTTCTTTTAATTTAATTCTTTTCCGAACAAGTCTGCCATCTGCTGTTTCCACGTAGCCCTCGGGCAGCGCGTCGCCCGCGAAGATGTTTTGCTGCAGCTGCTGCAGCAGCAGCTGCTGCTGCTCGTGCTCCTCCCGCTCCTGCTGCCGCCGCGAGGCCTTTGCTGCTGCTGCTGCTGCTGCTGCGGGGCCCGCCACCAGCCGCGCGCAGCCCTTCGCGCCCGCAGCAGCAGCGGGGGCCGCAGCAGCAGCAGCAGCAGCAGCGCGCGAGAAGCAAACGCGCAGCCGCCCGTCGGAGCAGCAGCAAACCAAATCTCCCGTGTCTGCATGCCACTGAATTGCTGTTGGTGCTGCTGCTGCGAAGCTAACAGCAAAAGCAGGCTTCCCCGTTTTGCTGCAGTACCCCCGCAGCTCCCCACAGAACGCGGGCCCGCGCCGCCGCCCCTCCTGCTGCTGCTGCTGCTGCTGCTGCTGCTGCTGCTGCGTGGCCGTGCACACGAAGCGGCCGCAGGGAGACACAGCCACTCCTTGCTGCGGAAATGCTGTTGGCAAGTTTGGAATTCGAAAAACTTCTTTTGAAAAGTTTCGAAGATCGAAAAGACAAAAAGACCCATCAAGTCCTCGGGTGTACAGACACCTGCCGTCAGCAGCAAACGCCATCGCAGCAACCCCACACTCGGTGTCTCGGGGGGCCTCGGCCATGCCCATGAAGCGGCCGCGCCGCTGCTGCTGCTGCTGCTGCTGCTGCTGCAGCAGGCGGGCGGGGGGGTGCGCGAGGCGCAGGATGAGGTCGGGTTTGCTGCTGCTGCTGCGGGCGGCGCCCGCTGCTGCTGCGCCCCACAGCTGCAGCGAGCCGTCGCTGCAGCCGGCGAGGACGGCCGTTGCTGCTGCTGCTGCAGGCGTGTAGAGGCAGCAGCAGCAAACGCATGCGTTGCTGCAGGCCCCCCTGCTGTCCAGCGCCTTCAAGCAGCAAACAGCAGCTAAGGACTGGTCTATCCCGTGGGGGGCCCCCTGCAAGTCCCACAGCCTGCATGTTGCATCTGCTGCTGCAGTCAGGAAGCAGTTTGCTGCAGCAGGATGGAAGCAAATGTCGCGGACTGCATGCGTGTGGCCCTTCGTGCTGCAGGGGTCTCGGATGTACTGGTCGCCGCGCGTGGTTTGCTGCAGCAGCAAACCCTCGCTGCTCAGCAGGTAGCAGCAGCTCTCCCCGCTGCTCACCCCCAGCAGCCCCCTGCTGCTGCTGCTGCTGCCGAACGCCAAGCAGCAAATCCGCTGCCGCTCCTTCACACTCACGGACTTGTAAAACTCCAGACTCCGCAGACTCCCCGCAGAGTTCAAGTCGAACAGCCGCACCACTCCGTCCGCGGCCCCGCTCGCCTGCAGCAGCAGCAGCAGCAGCAGCAGCAGCAGCAGCAGCAGCAGCAGCGGCGGCGGCGGCGGCGGCGGTGAAAACGGCGTGTTCAGAGCTGCGCTGCAGCGGGCGGCAGACGC